CATAGGGATTGGAAATTTATCCGGCACCGTCACTCGATTCAATGCCCTGTAGTCGACACAGAACCTCCAGCTACCATCTTTTTTCTTAACCAGCAACACAGGGCTAGAGAATGGACTTGTACTCGGCTGAATAATGCCAGCCTGTAACATTTCCTTAACCATCCGTTCGATCTCTTCTTTATGGGCATGCGGGTACCGAAAGGGCCTGACACTAACAGGACCGGCACCTGGCTGCAAGGAAATGGAATGTTCTCGACCTCGAGATGGCGGCAGACCAGAGGGCTCAACAAATACCCCGCTAAACTCTTCCAAAATCTGGGCCAGAATACTCGGTGTCTCCCCAGGCTCTGCCATAGAACACAGCGCACTGAACTCCACCATATAGCTCACTTCACTTGCCGGAATAGTTTTAATCAAAGACTTAAAAGTAACGAGGGAATTATGTAGGTGAGGGTCGCCTGTAAGAGTCACCTGAGTCGATCCCGTTGTGAACTTCATTACCAGTTTCTCAAAATTCATCTGAATATTACCCAAGGTCCGTAACCATTGAACCCTGAGGATGACGTCGGCGCTTCCAAGCTCTAAGGGCAGAAAGTCAGCGAGAATCTCCAGATGATGCATCGTCAACATCAATGCCCGACAAATCCCTGTTGTTCGAATAGTTACCCCGGTGTCGAGTGCAACACCATACCCCGACGTCGATGACGGCTGCAAGCGCAGTTTATCCAGAACATCCAATGAGATGAAATTATGGGTTGCCCCGCAATCTATCATCACCACCACTGCTTGGCCACGAATTGAACCTCGCACTTTCAGGGTTGACGGTGACGTGATGCCCACTGCGGAGTTGAGGGAAAGCTCCGCCGGTTCCTTCGGCTCCGCCGGTGTTTCGGAATCTGCGTCCGGAACATCGTCTTCCGGCAACAAAAATTCGCTGTCCTCTTTCACCACTATAACCTGAAGCTCCCGATCTTTGCATTTATGGCCGAAAAAGTAACGCTCGTCACATCTGAAGCAAACCCCTCTCCTCCTTTTTTCGTCGAGATCTGTATCGGAGATGCGGCGGACCCCTGAAGATTTTATTCCAGAAGGTAATGGAGTTGGGCTTGTAGCAGATGGGCCTGATGGAGAAAGCCCAGTGGAGTCAACCCTTCTAGTGAAGCCTGTACGTTGTGGCCCACCAGATCCACCAGCTGGCAAAGTGATCGTGCGAAAGGGATTCGCCGCCTACGACTGTTGATGCTTGAAGCCGCGATGGTCCCCCGATTTCCCAGCAAAGAACCCCATCGGAGAACTATCTAGTTTCAGGGCGAGCGCCATGGTACGCTCGAGACCCGGAGGCTCCAAAACTTCCACCATGTTTCGGATGTCCGCCCACAACCCATTTTTGAAGGCGCACTCGAGAACATCCACATCAACGTGCGTGAGTTGACCCAACAATTCCTCAAACCTGCGCACATAATCCAAGACCGAACCCACTTGTTTCAGAGAAAACAACCGAGCTTTAGCCGATCTCGCGATCTGCACATCAAATCGCTCCAACAATCGCTGTTTGAAATCTGGCCAGTCGACAAATGGTCGATTGTTGTGCTGCCATTCATGCTAGTGAAGCACTTCCCCATCGATGCTTAGTGTCGCGTATCGAAGTTTATCAGGATCACTGATACCTCCGAACCGAAAATAGCGTTCAGCTCTGACAATCCAACCTGCAACGTTGTCACCCTCGAAAATCGGCATTTCAATTTTTTGTAAAGTGAAATCGTTACCCGGAGGTTGCAGAAGCAACGGTGCCTCATCAGGGACAACTTCCAGATTCTGAGCAACAGTGGGTAACCGAGCCACCGGAACCGACGAACCTGGGACGTCGATCGGGGTCTTGCCTCGAGAGTCCGGAGACGTCTGAGCACAAGTTGACTGGTCCCCTGAGAATGGTACGGATGGACGTTTATCAGGGGGGATGCGTTGGTCAAGCAAGGTCTGCATCATCTGCTTCAACACCTCCATACGACCCATCTTCTTCTGGACGACGGAAACCTGACCTTGCATCACACCTGTGGCTGACGCGAATCGGTCCTGCATCGCTCCCATGGCAGACTCGAATTTTCCTAGTTTAGAGTTCACCAAATCTTCCAACTGTTCGATACGATTGTCTTTCGGCGGCATGGTAGGATCGATATGATGCTCTGATACCACTTTTAATAGAACCTTGTATAGATAATAGAGATTTGTATTTCAAAAGGAACCCAGAGAAATACAAATACCAAGTTTACATAGAGGAACACCACTCTCTTCTCTACTTCACTCTTAAATAAAAACCAACATACCCATCTAAAAGAGAAAACGTAAATATATATAGCAACCATGCCTCAACAGAATTTGATGAGGTGGCATTTGATTCCCTTCCCCTGCATAACAACCTCTGCACCCCCTACGTGTTGGTAACCAAATATCCTAGGTAATCATTGTTGCTCTACCACCTGTCTCCTGGTTCTCTTCTGCAGCAACGGTTTTCCCAGTCTTTTCCATCGAGGTTTCTTCCTTTCCTTGCTCTGCAACTCCTTCACCCATGGCTTCCCTTCTCTTCCTCTTGTTCCTTCTGCTGTATACACGCAGTGGTTTATCAGTTTGTCAGACTTCATTTTGATACAGACGCAATATTCAAATACATTAGATAACCAAACATACATGTGTGAGGAACTAATAACCTGACCGTATCTTGATCGCAACATTGACCAATATTGCTATGATCTAGCGCCTAAGCAATGCTACATAATGGATACATATACACTCACATTCAAGAACCAGATCCAAATGCTGTTTGGATGTCAGAATCTGTGGAGAATGAGCTACAAATATTCTATTGCCATAGAACTCTTTGATCATAGCTATGTTCTCAGGGAACTATAAGACAAAAATATTCTACTACAAGTATAACATCATAGCTATAACCGAGTATAACACAATGTTCGGTCCATGAAATTTGAACAAACTAGTTCCGAGTATATACCTGTACTATTCCATTCCCAGATATAATGGTAAAAGTTCCATACTTTAAACCAGATATGTGATTGAAGAAAACGTACCAGAACTTCAGGAACCCATGTCTCCGGAAATGGACAGCAATAAAGTTTTTCCCCAAGAAAGTCTGAATGAACCGTTGAGCCGTCACCAAAATGAGTCTACTCGATTTGATAAGTGTCTTGCACTTCGTCTTCATCAAACAAACTTTTCCACTACCTCTTGAGAAGTCCTCTTCGTCGGCTTCTTTATATCTTCACTCCAAGGTGGCTCAAGCTTCCCTCCAATGGAAACCCCCAATCCCTTCAGCTTCTTGATGTGATCCTCGTCCACATAGCAAGGCTGTGACAATGAGAAGTAGCAAATGAACTTTCTGTTTCCAGCAATCTTCTTCTTCTCCTTCTCCATGAACTGATCGAAAGAAATGACAACATTTCTTCCCAAGCAAGTATTGATGCTATCCACGTTTATCACTCTATCATACTGATAATCAAACTTAGGGCTCGGGATCACCAGAACTCGACCCAGAAGTGCGGCGAAGAAGATATGTTTCTCTAGGCAAATCAAATGATTGCTCATTTGGCCCGATAGACAGATTGCAAAGAGATACTTGTCCGGTCGCGGGTTCCATTCAATCGTTCTCCGCTCGGACAATTTCTGATCAACCTTTCTACATCTGTCGTACTTGTAATAACCCATCAGATCACCGGAACTTCCGCCGTCATGGGAGTAATTCCCGGTCCTGTGCGGTGACACAAGCGCCTCCTGAATCTCCTTATTCAACGAAATATGCTTTGCAACCGCAGATTTCACATCCTCAATCGCCACAGACGATCCGAAACCAGAAGAACCAATCGCATTCGAGGAATTATTATTGGTAGTTCTATCAAGGGAATGATCAACCAACGTACTATTCCAGAGGGAGACAAGCGCGAACTGTTGCTGTCTCAAGAGATACAGAGCACGGGCTGGACTCGACATCGGATCCAACTTAAGCCCCGAGGGATCCGCCGAGAAGAATCCACGAGTATCGATGAACAAGAACACGAGAACGAGGACGACAGTTAGAGAAGCACCAAGAACGATGTACCGCATGTCGAGCGAGATCTTCCACCGGTGTCGTACACGCGACACAATGTCCTCAATCTGGAACGCAGATCTCTGACTCCCGGCAGCGGTCGGAAGCCGCTCATCGTGGCGGCGGCGATCCCTGGTATCGTTCTGTGGGATCAAATGGTGGTGACCGTCTTCGTCGTCCAGGGGGTTCAGATCCATAAGACAGTGAGTGAATTTGGTCAGACAAGAGTTGCACTCTACAAATTTATAAGGAAAGAAAATAGAGTAAATCATGAAATTATGAAGAGAGATTAATGAATATAATAAGGATTATTGATTAACCCGGTATAAGATGTTCCCGGTTTAATGTGTGAGGAGAGATTATAGAACCGGTTTAATGTTGAAATTAATAATCGGTTTAGGACAAGTAGATTGGCGATCCAAAAGGACGATGAGCCCTTATATATAAGATTTGAAGTCGGGCTTCATTTTTTGGTAATTCATATGATTCGGACATTTGAATTTTTGGGACGAATTTGAATGGGTTTAAAGCTTTCGAAATGGAACCTCGATTATCTTTTTCTTTTAGCTTTGTGGAAAAGAATTAAATATCCTACCATATAATTATGAAATTACACCAAGATAATATTTGATGGTGGATCTTGACAAATTTTGTCGGGTAAATACTCGATTTCGGGTGATTATGAAAAAAAAAGTTATATATATATATACGACAACTACGGAAGTAAAGTTGAAAGCCTCTGAGAAAAGGGGAAAAGGGCAAGAACATGCAAAATCAGTTTTGGGCCATATTTTATTTACTTAGCTAATTTGGGCTTTTATTAGGAAATACAATTGGGCTTCATTAAGGGCCCATGTCAATAAGACGACCTAGTTTTGTCAATGTCCTTTTTCCGTCGTTTTCTTTTCTCTGCTGAACATTTTATCGGGAAAGTGACGGAAAAAAAAAAGAAAAAAAAAATCAAATGTGGCGGAGATCAGCCTCGTTCATCCTCGACGGGCAACGAAGCTCGAATTCACCTCCCATGGAAAACCCTAACCCTAATCCTGACGCCATCTCGGCCTACTATCAGACGCGCGCGGAGCACCACGGCGTCATCACCTGCGACTGGTTGGCCCAAGCTCAGGCCGCCGTCGGCGGCGCAGACCAGCAGCAGACCGTCTCCTCCGCTACCGCTGCCGCTTCCTCCGGCGTGGGAACCGGTGAATCGTTCGTCGTGATCGACGAGTTCAACAACTGGCGAAAGCAGCCGGATCTGGCGGAGGCCATCGCGGCTATTCGTGCGTTAGCGGCAGTATTCGCGCCAGCGAGGCGATGACTATGATGGAGCTTGAGATTGAGCTAAAAAAGGCCTCCGATACACTGAGAGTGAGTGTCTCTCTCATGTACATTTGAATTTCTTTCCATTTCATCGATTTAGCTTTCCAAGAACATGGGCTTTCAATTCAATATCTCTGTGGATAGTTCTGTATGGGAAGAAAATTGATATCGTCAATGTATTCGATCTGTATAAACTGTCTGCTTTCAGAGCTTGTAATGTTTGTGTTGTTCAATTTGCTAGTCATGGGACAAAACATCAATCTCCTTAACTGCGGGATTTGATCTGTTTATCAGATATGTGACGAGAACATCTGCTTTAGAATACGAGGATTTCAATTCAGCTAAGTCTTGTCTGCTTGAGCGTGCAGAGAAATTCGGGGAAATATCATTCAAGGTACATAACTGGTGATAGTGCTGAGTTGATATTCCCATTTTCCCAAAGATACCAAATCGTAAGATCAAATCGCAGCCACGAAGGATTATTGCAATGCTTAGTCAAGATTTTATATTCGATGATTGTACAATTTTGGTTCATGGATTCTCTAGAGTTGTTCTTGAAGTTCTAAAGAACAACAAACTCTTTCGAGTTTTCTGCACAGGTTCTGTCTCGAAATGCCCTTTTATGTTGTTCAACACGTTCTTACTATCTTTGGTATATCTTGTTCGCATTGTCTTTTCCATAACCCCCTTGGAAACTGCCGAACTCTTTTTTTTGCCAAATTCTACAGAAAACCCCAAACCACCATTGTTGTATATGCATTTACGTCAGTCTTGTACATTTCCGCCATTGCCCTTCCTCTCATAAACTGGCATTTTTATCTTTGCGTTTAACCTTTAAACCTTTCAAAACAGCTCTTGTTTTGCGAGGCCACTCACTCTAGGTTTCATCGTTCAAAGAATTGCAGAGGGAAGGCCTGACGGGACCGGAGTTCTGCTATCCAACGAGCTAGCAAAGCTCGATGTCCCTGTGAGACTGCTTTTGAATACCGCCGTGGCATATAGCATGGACGAGGTAGACATGATATTCGTCGGGGCTGATGCAGTCATAGAGAGCGGCGGCATAATCAACATGATGGGAACTTACCAGATCGCACTCGTTGCATACAGTATGAACAAACCTGTCTATGTAGCCGCAAAAGTTACAAGGTAAGCAAGAATTTTTCATTCGGTAAACCCACGGGTACCCATCTGAGACGGGTACCTGGAATGTGGGTATTCAGTAGTGAACGAGGCCGAGTACGAGTAGGATGAGAATAGGAACCCGGACCGCAGGTTTGGTTTTGCCATCATGTGACGGTTGCTGGTATCCATCAACATGCAAAATGACGTTTATACCCCCAGAATTTTAGGGTAGTTACAGTTATATCTAGGTTTATTTTGTACAAAATTACCACTATAGAATGATGGTCAACTCGGTCGGCAAAAATTTGTATGTTTTCTCGGGTTGGGATGATATCTGACCCGGGGGTACCCGAGTCTGGTGAAGCTGAGGCCGAGATACTTCGGCCATAAACCACGTGGAGGCAAGGCCGAAGCCCCAGTACCTCCAAAAACTCGGGTACCCAACTCGCTCGCACCCCTACATTCAGATACCAGAATCTGATACGCGGATATGATTACAAGATTCCGAGGTTATGTAATGTTGCAGTTTGGGAGGCTTTACCCGTTGGACCAGAAGGATATGGCGCCGGCGTTGTGGCCGATAAGAGTTTGGAGTGAAGATTCCGGGGAAAGTTGAGGTGGAAACGTCGGCAAGAGATTATACGCCGCCGCAGTACTTGACGCTGCTCTTCACAGATTTGGGAGTTCTGTCTCCTTCTGTTGTCAGCGATGAGCTCATTCAGCTCTACCTCTGACCTCTTCTTGTCTTGTAAGAATTCTCTCCCCCGTTTTCTCTTGTTTCTTTTTGGCCTAAACCACCATTTCTTTTGTTAATTGATATTTAAAAAAGAAAGAAATACAAACCCTGTTTTTTTTTTTTTCACGAAACAATGGTGTTTAGGAAGCCCTACACGTTTGGATTTACACGTGTGCGAAGTTAAAATTAATTAATGATATATTTACTTGCCCAAACAATCTGCCAAACGAAATAAAAAGTCCAGAAAACGAACAATCTGTCCGTTTTTGTTGATGCTCAATGTGTGAATAAATATAATGCATGGGAAATTTTATTTTATAAGATATAAAAGTGAGAAATTTTGTTACTAGTGGGAGTGCATTTATTGCGAGGAAAGAAACTCAAAATGGACCATACGATACCACCATAATCGTATCGTGTTGATAAAATGGTCCTGGAGAAATATGTTCATTTTTTTGGTAATATATATTATATTTTTATAGATCGAGAATTTATTTTTGTCCCCAAACGGATATCTGTTCATGTCACTATTTAATATGTTTCACAAGTGGCGAAGGGATTTATTTTGGTTATATATACATATATATATGTGTGTGTGTGTATGTGTGTGTGTGGGGGGGGTATTAGATTTAAAACATTTGCTATCAAGATATTAATATAACAAAAACCAAAATTATTAATTTGGTTTTATTAAGAGATATACATAATATTAAAATTTACTTATTTTTTATAAATTGATTTTAAATATTTAAAGCTAACATTAGTCATATTTAAATTGTATTGTATATATGTATGGGTAGATGGTGTGCCAAAATCATATTAACCATATGAGTGGAATAAATGTATGCTATTGGTAGGAATATCACTCACTTGAAAAAACATGGATTTATCTATACTTAATAATTATGAATCGTATTCATGAAAATTTTAATTCCTTCTCAAATTTGAATGAAATAGAATAATACATACATATAACTATATCTTTACTCAATTTATTCTAGATATCGATTGATTACAGATTTTTAAAATTAAATTAATTGAATTGGAATATATGAAAATAAACATAAAATTGAATTATTTTGTAGGTATATATATATATATTTTTTATAAAAGTACGTCAAACTCTAATATATATAAGTTTACTAAAAATATTTAAAATAAAAATCTAAAAAAATAAACAAAATATAATGGGCATCTAAAGTATTCATCCACTGAAAACGTTAAGGAATTTGTCTTCCTAGAGTCGTGCGAGGTCAAAACCTAATCTACATTTATCTTCAAAGGAAAGGAAGTACATGTTCTTTTTTTGTTTTCGATTTTCATTTTCATGATAAATGGAATAAAGTAGAAAAAGGTTATTAGCTGTTGACTAATTTGTTCGCAAATATAATATTTTGTGGTTTTTGGCGATTGTAATATTTTTTTTTTCGTTTTACTATAGTATAATCAGAGGCAATTATTCAAAATCTGAGAAAATGAATATAAAATTTTCTCCAATATTTTAAAATTTTAGAAAAAAAAAAGAAAAGAAAATATGTTTGTATTATAAACAATCTCAAAAGAAAGAAAAAACTCATATGAATATTGGTTTTTCAATTGACAAATGTATTAAATTGGGTAAAAATATTTTGAAAAAAAAAATCTTAGTTATTGGGTCTGACAAATTATTAAATAATTTATGTCAAAGGAAATATTTAATAATAATAAAATAATTGTAGCACTAATAATAGATATGTCATATGAACATCTATTTTGATAAGTTGTTTATATAGTAATATCACTATCTATTAATTAATCAATTAAATTCGCAGCAATCTACAATTGGCAACAGTGATAACAATTTACAAGACAAATAGTAGAATCTTCTTCAATCACAAACAAATATTGTCAAAAATATTTATAATCACAATGGAAAATACAACTATAAAATCATATTAGAAATATTCCCTCGCCCGTTTTATAAATCTTGATGTTTTAACTTTTTTTGCAATTTAAAAAAAAAAAGAAAAAATGTCACACCTTTAATAATACAGACTATTACGTTATCATTATAATCTATTGAAATTTGATAATTTTTATAAAAAATAACATAAAATAATATTTTAAAAAATGTTTAAAAAACCTAAAATGACAACCATCTAATAACAAAAAAATAGTCTAAAATGTCAAGATTTTTAAATCGGAAAGAATAATAAATTTCTGATGAGTTTGTTTCATGAAATGATGAAGAGTGGTTTTAATTAGAGATTGTCATTTCGGTTATTAACCGAATAACTGAACCGAATAAGATATAACTATATTCAAATTGAATCCACATCAAAACTGAACGGCTATGATTTTTTTAAATCAGAAAAAATTAAAACCGGATCAAATAAAAAAATAACCGAAAACCGATAATTTTTTTGAAAAATGATTTTTTTATCAAATCGAATTGAACCGAAGTTTATATAAAAACCAAATGATTATAATTTTTTTATAACCGAAATAACCGAATCCGAATATCACTGAATCGAAACCCTCGCCCCTAGTTTTAACATATGGAGAATGTGGAATGCCAAATTTATGTACCCTCCATTATGTCTCCAATCCATGATGGAAGAATGGACGGACCCATTAATTGGTATTATCGTTAGGTACCCACTTTCCCATTTCTCACACGTTTTATTCGCTATCAATATTATAATAAAAATCCCTTTCAGCATCAAACCGAGTCCATCGTTGGATTCCGAGTTAACTCAGCTCTACGAAAACGTCCATCATGGTTATATATATATATATGTGTGTGTGTGTGTGTGTGTGTGGCTCTTGGCCTTCTAAAAGAGCCATTTTTTCAACTCCGCAAGGGGAAATTCGTTTTCCCTTATAAAATGAAGGGATTTTTTTTCGAGTTTTAATTTTTGTGAGTATATATATATTTTTCTATTTTTTTCTTTTTTAAAATTAATTACTGATATGGGATTTTGTTATTACATTTCATAAGATATTTCGGCGGTTGTATCAAGACCTTGAAGAATTTTACAAATTGATATATTTTTAAGATTACAATTTCCATATTTTTTTTTATTATTTTCTATACAGTTTATAAATAGGGGGGTGGCAGATAACGACGTCACCACAACACCCCTTTTTCAACCATGGTTTGTTAGTTTTTTTTTAAAATATGAGAATTGGAAAATAAAACAAACTGCAAAAGATAAAATATACAAACATCGATGAAATAACATAAATCTTTTTTAGAATTAATAATATTACAAGATACATTGAATATGTAAAAAGATAAGTGATTTGTTTTATGAAAATTGGAACTAAACAATTTTTTAAATATAATTAAATCAGGTAAATAAATATATAATATAAAGCTTAAATCTGAATTTAGAAAAACAAATCATGTGATTCTTTGTAATATAGGTCAATGGGATACTCGGTAAAAGAATTTCACCGAATAAAAGTTATTGGCAGCTTCCTGAAAACATTCCCATAGATTCACCGAAAACATCTTAAAATCTAAATTACAAAAAAAAAAAAACAGAGTAAAACATATAAAAAAAAACAAAATAAATATAGAAAATGAGTAATCAAATAATGACATGCAAAATGGTAAAAAAAAATGAAGCTGTACCTCCCATTAATATTTATGGACGTGAAATTCGTGTAACTCCAATTAATGTCTGTTTTTTTAATTAAAGGTTTTAATTAAGTTATAAAATTTTGGGTTTCATCCACATTCATCTCTCGTTTTCTTTCTTTTTTTATTGTTGTTTATCCTCAACATCGCTATGAGTAGTCAAACATCAAACTCCCAATTAAAATTTTTTGTAAGCATGAATGATTTATATAAACATATTTCATTTGTTATTCAACTGATTTACAATTTTCCATTTTACTCACATTCCATAATGAAAAAAAAAAGTTGTTTAGGTTTTATAATTGGATTTGATTATTTTATTCAAATTTATAGTTTTTAAAGAATTATATCTATTATATTTTCACATATATATTTTGTTCAAATTCGTTGGATTCGTTTTTTTACTTTAGAAAATAATTTTATAAATTTAAACTATTTGAATTAATTTTTTATTTTTTTATATTTGATAGTGTTTTAATTTGAAATTGATTATTTTAATAATATGAAATTTATATGTGTACATTCCGTTTTTATACCCCCATATTACAGCAACATATTTTTGTTAAGATAAAATGGCCGCGGAGTTTTGGTTGGATCTAATAAATAAATGTAGATTATTTATGAGTATTACTATTAATGATTCTGAATGCAAACGGTTCCTTTTATTTGTTTTTGTCAAGTCTTGAACTTTTTTTTTCTTTAGAAGACGTATTTTTTTAACATATTGTATAGGCTATTTTTTTTTGGTAAAATTGTATAGGCTATTTCAAATAATAATAATAATAATAATTTAATTAATAACGAAATATTAGTTTCTTTGCTTTTTATCGGTAGTAAAACCCTAGATTAATAACGAAATATTAGTTTCTTTGAATAACATGTAAAAGTAAATTGTTTAATATGTAATTGAATTTGATTGGTCAGTTTTAGATTTTTATTTTTATGGGTATTAAAAAATGAAAAACGCGAATCACGTATGTGCAACCGCTAAGCGAGGCGAGTCGTTAGGATTTTGCCACGTGTCGAACCCTCAACGGTAGATTAAAAGAGCCCAACTTGGCAACGGATGCAGACAAAACCCAATTAAATCACGTGCTCTAATTCGAGATAAAGTATTCATTACAAAATTGCACACGAAACTTCCGCCTGAGAGGGCGGGTCCCACGTCGTGGGACCGACGAAGTTGTCGGCTACTCTAAAACTTTTCATGACCGAAATGCCCCTTGCGATTGATGGAAGAAGGGCAAAATTGTAGATAAGAGGCACTTGTAGGGCAAATGCCTTGGAACGGAAGCGAGGGACGCCGTTAGTTAACGTCCCGTCAACTCTTCAACTTTTTTTTCTATATTCTTTTTCCCGTGCGCGCAAGGAAAACGTGGGGGGAAATTGGAGCAAAAAATTAGTTTGGTCCAAAAACGATAACCACAAAAAATAAAATATAAGAAAAAAAACGACGGAATTGCACTTGTTTATGTATCGGTTTACGTCTTTTTCGTTTTTCTTTCACGACTCAAAATGAACAATATAGAGAAAAACATGACCATCGTTAGCCACTAAACAATTACGGATTTTACTATAAATTCTTTGTTTTAAAATATAAAAAAATACAAATTTCTGATTCCAAAGAATATACATTGAATGTAAATAACATACCCCCGAATGAAAAAATAAATAAATATAAATACTATGAAGGTGATATACAAGAGCAAGACCGTCATTTAAGATTTTTTTTTTCTGTTTTTGTTTTTCCTCAACAAGTATAAAATTCTCTAGATTAATTAACTTCATTGCTTTGCGTATTTCTCGTGCCGTATAAATAAATAAATAAAATTGTCATTTCATGCTAATAAAAAAATATATTATTATTTTATTATGGGTGTGAGGTTAAAGCCACAGAAATCGATTGGCCGGGTGGATGATACCCATTACCCACATGTGAGAGACAGCTCGCGAGATTCATCCTAAAATCTCTTCTTTTTCTCGGCAAACCCACAAAATTTAAATATAAAAAAAAATCCGATATTTTTTTTGGGGAGTCTATAATCGGAACATGTCGAAGAATGCGACGGAAAAAGCTCCGGAAAAATCAAATTTTGCCCGGAAATGTAATTTGCTGAGCCGGTATCTGAAGCAGAACGGAAGTTTCAGAGGCATCGATCTCGGGTTGACCCGAAAACCCGATTCCGATCTCGGGCTAACCGGAAAACGCAAACCCACCGGTAAAATTTTCTTTTTCCTTTCGTTCTTTTATGATTCTGAGCGAATGGGCGGTTTAGGGTTCCTAATAACAAGAAGAAGAACAACAGAAAAAAAAGAGAAAAATATACGATGAGAGAGATCTCTTCTTCACTAATTTTGAGCAATTTCTCTTGTCTGAAAACAGTTGAATAAAAATACGGTGAGTTTGGATTTATCACTGTATTACATTAAAAAAAAATTATACTATGAAATTTGATAACTGATAACAAATATATATTTTTTTTATCTGGTAGTGTCAATTAACAAAAAAACATGTTTTTTTTTCGGTTAAAAAATGTGTTTTTTGTGTTTATGATTATTAACTTAAAGCTTATGATAATTTTTTTTTTTTTTTATTGATTGGTGGTCTGAGTTATTGTTTTAAAATAAAAAATAATAATTCTCAGGTCAAGAAAATGCGATGAGGAAGCCGGAAACTCGGGAGATTAAAACCATCGACTTTATTCAGACATGTCGCGACGCCGTACCATCTGCGTCCTCTGGAGCCAAACCGAATGTTGCCGAGCCCAGGTGCGATACAAATTATTTTTATACAAAAAAATAATACAAATATTACAACGTTACTAATTCAAATATGGTTATAATTAAGGAGACGGAATATAGACATAAACGTGGGTCAAAATTCAAATATTTCGGGGTTGGGTTATTTTTTATTCAGTAGTTTTTTTAGAATATTTATTTATCATGATTTTTTTGGTTTAAATTTATTTATCATGATAGTTTGTTATATCCCGTTTGATTTAGTTTTGGATTCAATTAATTCGATTTAAAAATAATTAGATTAGGTATATATGTGTCTTGAACCGGAACGACCATCCCTGTGAAAGTTCAGTCTTTTGAGTTTGGTGGTAGTTGGTATTTGGGTATCCGGTTGAACCTCCTGAACCGGTTTTGGTTAACGCGATTTCAAACCGTGGTTGGTTTCAGTGAACCGGAGCCGGGAACATCCCCGTTGACGATATTCTTCAGCGGAAAGGTTATAGTCTTCGACGAGTTTCCGGCGGATAAAGCCAAAGAGATCATGGAGATCGCCAAACTAGCGAACCCTGAAACCATTTCGAACCTTCCCTTTGGTTCAGAGTCTGCGGCTGACGACGACGACAACAACTACAACTCCAAGATGGATTACCTCAAGAACGACGACGACAACAACAGCAAAAGCAATGTGGCTATTCCCGATCTGAACGAGCCAACGAGTTCGGGAAACCCTAATAACAACCAGACGATACAGAAGAACCAGCTGGTTGAACGTATAGCTCGTAGAGCCTCGCTTCATCGTTTCTTTGCTAAACGTAAAGACAGGTAAACAAAAAAAAAAACTAACTTTGAACTCTTCTTGTCTTAACTGTAATTAGCTAGGGTTATGGTCTCATGTATGCATATGTATATGATGTATATATTGGCACTGTCTTAGCCCTAGAGTTCTCCATAGCCAAAGGGTTGTCACTCCAACATTCAAGCTCAGAACTTTTCTGAAACGGCTAGTGAATATGATCTCGAAATTTCTCAAGATACATTCGCATAGCCGTGTGTAATTGACAAATTTTTACGGTTACAGGGCGGCGGCTAGGGCTCCATACCAAGTGAATCAAAACGCGGGTCATCATCCTCCGAAGCCAGAGATGGCGAGTTCATCGTTAGAACGAGGCCAATCATCAGGACAAGAGAATAATAACGCAAAGGGACATGAAGATATGTTGCTTGAGGAGGAGAAAGAAGAAGAAGAAGAAGGGCAATGCGTGAAAGACCTTGAGCTGAGGTTGTAGAGACACCGCTTACTTCACCTTCACAATGGAACAGATATTCACTTTTAGATGATTATTACAATTTGAATATATATATGGTCGGATTATTTGCTCTTAGTTAAGAGGTCATTTGTATGTATTGTTGTATTAGATCCCATCATATGTTTTTATAATTATATTTGCTGTAGCTTTTTTAAAATCTTTTTTTAAATAGAAATATATTGTTAGAGTTCATATGTTTAGGACCATTAGAGTGTAGTGTTAACTGACCGATGAAACTAATAAAAGGTATCACGAAACCTTAAAGCCCTACTAATGTTATGTTATATTCTATTTTTAATATGTAAAATACTTTTCTTCGAAGAAAAACTTATTAGATAGCAAATACATTGAATTTCCTAAACTTATTTTTATGAAGTAACTTTAGTATTAATAAAAAAACTAACTAATGTCTGTTTTTATAAATAAAAACGTAAAACTCATAAAAAAACTTGTAAAATTGCGAAAAATTCTCAACATCGGTGAATCTTCGGTAGTTGACGACTCAACCCGATGGTCTTCACCACTATCATCATCAATCTGTATGGGAGCATCTGTACCAGGTGTATCACCTTGAACCTCACCTTCAGTAGAATCCTCAATTATCGTTCGAGGAATCATCTCTGAGTCGATCAAACCACTACTATTCTGAGCTGGATTTTTGCACTTCTGAATATCCCGAATAGTTTGATCCTCCATGAACACAGCGTCTCTGCTTCTGACGAGCTTCTTCTCAACTAGATCATAGAATCTGTATCCCATTTCATCAAGGTCATATCCGATGAACACACACTCCCTCGACTTCGCATCCAGCTTCGACCTTTCATCCTTAGGAATATGAACAAACGTTTACACCCAAAAACCTTCAAATGACTGTAAGAAACATCCTTACTAGTCCAAACCTTCTCCGGAACATCACCATGTAACGAAGCACTAGGTGACAGGTTCAATACATGAACCACGGTGTTCAAAGCTTCTCCCCAAAAGGAATTCGGCAGGCCTGATTGAGAAATCAAACAGCGAACTCTCTCCATGATCGTCCTTGTTCATGACAATAGGCATCAAACGGTCCGGAGTATTCACCTCCATTATCGCTTCGGATACACTTCAACTTCTTTCCAGTCCGTCTCTCCACCAAGACTTGAAACTGCTTGAAAATGCCCAGAACTTGATCCTTAGTCCTCATCATATACGCCCACAATTTTCTTGAATGATCATCGATGAATGTGACGAAATATGATGCACCACCCATTGATCTCGTCTTCAATGGACCACACACATCCGAATGCACCAAATCGAGAATCTCCGATTTTCTCGAAGGTGTAGAAGACTTAAACGCAACTCTGTTCTGTTTTCCCGCAAAACAGTGATCACATTTCTTCAGATGTAATCCCGAGACTCCTTGTAGAACCTCCTTCTTCGCCAGTATATACATTCCTTTCTCACTCATATGACCAAGTCTCCTGTGCCACAACTCAATAGCATCTTCACTCTCTAAGGCATTAATGATATCCTTAGAAAGCTTAGCATACATTAAGTATAGTGACGAAGACTTCGTCCCACGAGCCACAACCATGGCGCCTCTAGTAAGCTTCCACTGACCTCCACTGAATGTACTGTTGAAACCCTCATCATCAAGTCTTCCCGCTGAGATCAAGTTCAGACGAACATCTGGAACATGCTTAACATCCTTAAGCACAAGTCTAGTACCAAGACTAGTCTCCAAGCAGACATCTCCAATGCCAACAACTTGAGCTGATCCATCATTACCCATCTTGACGGAACCAAAGTTACCCGAAGTATAGGTAGCAAATAATTCACGTCGTGATGTGGCATGAATAGAAGCTCCACTGTCAATCACCCAACTGGTCTCATGGCATGCGAGGTTGATCATTTCACCATCGATCATGATCAGAAACTCATGTCTTGCAACTGCAACCCGTTCCTCGCCGTCTTGTTGCTTATTTCCTTTCTTGTTGTCCTTCTTCAATTTCCAGCAATCTTTCTTGATATGTCTTCTTGTGGCAATAGTGACACTCCACATTTGCAAATTTGTTAGATTTGCTCCTGCTCCGATTCTTCTCCTTCGGATTCCGATTCTAGTTCCTCCCCCTCGATTCAGATACCAGAATATCAGAACTCGAGGAAGCTCCTTGAGATTGTCTCCGCGTCTCCTCATTTAGAATACTGTTCTTCGCATATTCCATCGAGATGACACCATCTGGAGCTGAATTCGACAACGACATCCTAAATGTCTCCCACGAATCTGGAAGTGTGCTGAGAAGCCATAAACTCTGAACCTCATCTTCAAAAGTGATCCCCATATCAGACAACTGGTTCAACAGACCTTGAAACACGTTCAGGTGATCTGTCACCGGACTGCCTTCGGCGTACTTTAAATTGACCAACTTCTTGATGAAGTACAGCTTGCGATTTCCAGTGTTTCGAGCGTACAACTGCTCCAACTTGCTCCACAAAGACCGAGCATTAGTCTCACCAGTCACATGGTTTAGAACATTATCATCCACCCATTGCCAAATCAAAGCACAAACTTGTCGATGAAGCAATGTCCTTTTTCCTCAACGAACAACGGTAGGTGGCACTCTTTCACGTATAGCAGATCCTCCATCTTGCCTTTCCATACGTGATAGTTGGTACCGTTTAAACTAACCATTCTACTAGTATTTGTCTCCATCACTCACACAAGTGCACTGCACAACCAGGGTGCTCTGATACCACTTTGTTAGGGTTTTTACCGTGAATCACGATTCGGTAAATGAGAACCCCTTACTTGTGTGAGCAGGTTAGGATGACAATATCTAGTAAAAACGGAAATTTAAACGAGACAACCGATTTAACGTGGAAAACCTCCTCGGTGTGAGGAGTAAAAACCACGGGACCGTAGTCCACCCAAAAATCCATTATAATCTCAAATTTCCGGGTTACAACGTCCACACTTCAGTCTCCAATAGACAAGAGATACACCCGAGACTTCCGAATATTAACCAATATTCAATCTCAATAAACCCGAAAGAACAAGCTGTAACTTAGGCAGCAAGCTAACCCCATAACTTCTGATTCCGGCAACCAAATACCAACTTCTCTGTAGAAATCAAAAGCTCAGAAGGTGTAGAATAAACATACCAAATTTCAGCTCAAAGGAGAAGAGATGAGCATCCGAATCTTCAACTTACTCGGACATGTGCTGCTGAAGCTCCAATGACGAACAACTTTGGTAGAAACTCCGTTTCTCCAATTCGGACCGTTGGAATCGAAATTCCACCGGACAAATCCTAGAACAATGATTGTAGAATCTCTCCTCCAAATTCCAGATCGATCGGACAAGGAATGACCATCCGATCGAGGCTTTGAGCACAGCTGCACCACACTGTTTTCTCTCCCTCTTTTCTCTCACTCTCTCTTTTCTTCTTTCTGCTCTCTTGCTTGGATTACGCTCTGTATATGTCGATCTTCCCTGACCTTTGAACTCTTTAATTATAGAAAAGAAAAGGGTCCAAAGCAATGATGAAAGAAAACATCATCATGGTGTTTCACGTAAAACACCTTACCCATGTTTCACACAAGGTGTAGGAAGACCCCACAAATTGTCCAGTCTTCCGAGCTGAGGCTTGGGGGGTGGTGACGGGATTACGACTAGCGTGAGATAAAAGGCTACAGAAGAGTGGAGGTTGAAGTTGACAATCAGGCTTTGGTAGAGGCACTCAAAAGTCAAAGGGACACGATTACGGTTGATGGGGTCCTCATCAGGATCATAAGATAGGAGCCAAAACCATTTAACCCATTTTAAAAAATTAGTCAAATAGACTAACCCATTTGGATTTATAAGTGGATCGGGTTGAGTCGACCCGTATAACCCGACCCATTTTGACATCTTTATTCACGAACGCATGCATGCACGCGCACATGTTGCATACTGAACATAGCTGTATAATCTGCATCCGTACTGTCCAAAATTGATTTCCTCCTCACAAACTATCAGATTTATGATTCTATTAATACAACCATCACATTTTTATAAAAAAAAATACGACAATATATATATATACACACATATCTCTATTTTTAAATTTTTTACATAAAAACATGCACGAAGATAAATAACGAAAAAGAAAACGTAAAAACGGAGGAAGAGTTGTGCTCCGAGAGCAAACAGGAACTGATTGAAAGCGTAAAATGCTTTTGATGGAGAAAAGGTAGAAGCTGTCACCACGTTGGGCCGAGAGACTTGCTGAAATACTTCACCGGAAAGTCCACTTGTCGCCGACGACGTTCGTTCCGTACGAATGCTACATAAGGGACAAACACTATGAACCCGGTAACTATCGGGTATCTGAGTATTATTATAAACCCTGGTAAATTCATGTCTAGTCTATAGGCATCAGTAAAAGGGAATGTGGTATAAAGCGATGCAAAACTAGCAACTCCAAGAACTACAATGGAACCGTATATAGTTTTCCACATGGGAAGTCCAATGATGAGAATCATGATAACCCGTATAGATAAGAAGAAGGCTATCCCGTTGAATCCATAGAATAACACTGCATTAAAGGGATCTATAATCATCTCTCCAGCCTTGTGGTGTTCTTCTGGAACAGTATTATTGTTGAATACAGTGGTACTGTCTTGCCAATAGCCACCCGGGGGACTGATGGTGGCTTGGTACGTAGTTGTCACGATCAGTATAACCACCACAAGAACTGAACTCCTCAAGTCGCTTGTATTACGAGATCCTTGTTTGTTATTACCAAGCAGGTTGTTGAGACCCAAATACATTTTTCAGTTGATAAATTTATTTCTAAACTTACAAAATATATAATTATAATTCTTAAATTTATAAAATATATCATTATAATTTTTAAAATAAATTTTAGATCAATTTAAATTTTATAATGATATATTTTACAAGTTTCATAATAAATTTATTAAATAAAAAATTTAGAAATTAGTTTTGTTTAAAAAAAATTATGGGTTTTAATTCCAACTCGGTTCTATTTCATTCTGTATAAATATTTATTGGAAAAATTCTTATAATTACACTGCATTCAATCATATCCATTTGAACTGACTCGTACGAATTTGCCGGTCGCCAGTGACTGCGTACCGACAAAAATTTGTCCATTGTAATAATTAAGTTGGGGTAGTTTTGAAAATATAGAAAGATACGATGGTGTTTTGTAATTTTAGTAAAGTTCGGTCCTAATTTAAGACGGTCTGTTTCATCAGAGATATGGGCCGGGCCTTGTCCAACTAGCTGTCGGTAACACGTGTAGTAATTTCATTGGCTGTCATTTATAAATATCACAGTCCAGTGATTTCCATTTTTATTTAATTAATTTAAATTCCAATAAATATATTTCTGGGGGCCACTCGATCGCTCTCCTCTTTTCTGACGAGAAGCCTCTCTCGTTTTCTTTCTTCCTTCGTTTCCTTTTTCATTTTCTGGGGCCAAGTATTTCGAACCCTAGATATACAGAGGGCGGGGTGAATTTTTCGGGAAACGAAGATCGAAGCAGGGAAATTTACCTAGAAAATGCAGAGGTTGAAGCAGCAGCAGCAGCAACAAGCCCTGATGCAGCAAGCGCTTCTCCAACAGCAGTCTCTCTACCACCCCGGCCTCTTGGCTCCGCCTCAGGTTAGCGGTCTCTCTGTCTCTCTCTTAGCTCTTCTCTTTACGTTTTTCTTCGTTTCAATGGTCGATTTCGTGTTGGATTTGGTTTGCTAGGGCTTTATTTTAGTGTGGATTTGGTCGGCCTTGGTGTTGATTAAGAAATTATCGTGGTAGGTTTAGGGTTAGTTCTTCTGAACACTGGATTCTTGACCTCGATTTGTGGTGTCAGTTTTTGGTTTCGTGATTATTTGTGGAGGTGCTGTCGGTGTCCTCTTTCTCGTATTTTGACTCATGTGATTGTTGTTGCTTGCTTCGTTTAATCGTCTGATTGGTCGACGAGAAAGGTTACGGGTTTGTTGGAATATTATACGATTAATGGACTTCCTTGGCTTCTCGTTGTATACACAGCTTGTGTGTTAACTATTCATTTCGTGGTTTGTTTTCATGATTTCATGAGCTTATGATGTCTGAAAAATGACTCTTTCTTGGAAGGAAGTTTGAGTAAATTCGTTGAAGTTTTTCTCTTTCTGGGTGATTGTCGGTTCAATGACATCACCAACTTGGGATAAAACCACTTCTGTCTAGTAGCTCATCGGATATGCCACTCGGTCTAGGCTCCATTTTTGTCCCTCCAGATTTCTGGTGAACCTTGTTTTGTTGTGTGGAAGTGGCGAAATGTTTAGATGTTGAAATTTTCTGAAGAGCCATATAGACAAGGGTTAGGGTAAAGAAGCAATTTTTTTCTTAATTTGTTTTTCATTTTTTTTTCGTTTCCATTTTTTTTTCCTTTTGCAGATAGAACCAATTCCAAGTGGAAATCTTCCCCCTGGTTTTGATCCGAGTACTTGCCGCAGTGTGTGAGTGTTAGGATTTTTTTCTCTTGTTTTTCCCTTTTTTTCACCATTTATGTATGTTATGTGTATTGTTTTCTGTATTTTTCTCCCAGAGTTCATTTTTATTTTGTTTAAGATTGTGTCGTTGTGAGTACTGGTTTATAACCTGCTCATTAACAATAATTTGGAGCAAGCAAACCTGTAAATATGTAGTGATGGTGGGGCAAAGATACATGGTATTAGTTGTGCACTTGTGTGAACGCATTAATTTTTCAAAATTATGTCAGCGCTGTATTGTTTTCTTTCCAAATTCTTGCTTCGAATTGTCTGAAATGCTGATTCTTTTGTTATTATTTCCTGTTTGTCGATTTCCCAGAATTTTCTTGTAAGATGTTTTGTCTTTCTTTCATCATTTTGTTCCTTTTTCTCTTGAACTTTTAGTTTGTCTGCCTTTGAGCAATTGCAGTTATGTGGGCAATATCCATATTCAAGTGACGGAAGTTCTTCTTCAAGAGGTTTTTGCTAGCACTGGTCCCGTGGAAAGCTGCAAATTGGTTAGGAAGGAAAAGGTTAGTCTGTAAATCGCCAGTTTATGTCATGCTGATTATGTAATATGTATTATTAGGCTGCGGTGTATTTCAGTCAGCAAAATAAATTTTTATTTTACTTGCTTTCGGTTTCTTTATGTGATTTTGCTAAGGTACATATTGTGTTTATCTTTGATTTGAATATGAGCAGTCATCTTATGGTTTTGTCCACTATTTTGATCGAAGATCTGCTGCTCTGGCTATCCTTTCTCTCAACGGAAGGCATTTGTAAGTGGATTGCTTGATTAGTAATGTGTTATATAGACTATTAATTGCTAAAATAGTTAAGTCCTTTTTCTTAGTTTTGTAATATATACTATTTTATATTCTTTGCAGGTTTGGGCAGCCTATCAAGGTTAATTGGGCTTATGCGAGTGGCCAGAGGGAAGATACATCAAGTTGGTTCACTCTTTTATGCTTTAACATTTTTACTGAAATAGTGCTTTTGGTGGTTAATGGTTATGAATGTCATTCTCTGTTTTGATCTTTGTGTGCAGGTCACTTCAATATTTTTGTTGGGGATCTTAGTGCTGAGGTTACCGATGCAATGCTATTTGCTTGTTTTTCTGTTTACCCAAGTTGCTCGTAAGTTTTTCTAAGTTCATGCTGCTAGAAATTTTTTTAATTACTATGACTGAAAATGGAAGTTTATGCTTAATATCTGTTGGATTTAGGGATGCAAGGGTTATGTGGGATCAAAAAACTGGGCGTTCAAGGGGATTTGGATTTGTTTCTTTCCGAAACCAACAGGTATTTTTTTTACTGTTGTCTGCTTGTTATCCATGATGTCTAGTTTTGTTCACCTGATGCATATATTGATTGCTGGCACTTGTTTCTTTTTGCAGGATGCCCAGAGTGCGATAAATGACTTAAATGGTGAGATTGGTGCTAGTAGTGTTCATTAATTTTTTTTTTCACAAGAGAGATGGTCTTAGGAATCACACGGGTTTTTCACCGGTTTTCTAACGTCATGCATCATAATTCTTCTCACATTCTAGGCATTATAGGACGTGGACGTGCCAACAGTTATGCTTATGTGATGGCATTTATCGTTGTATATTGGTGTACTTTCACGTCGAATATATTTTGACCATTTGCTGTGTTGAATTTTAGTTGATTGTGGATTCTGTTTCTTTTCTTAGGGAAGTGGCTTGGTAACAGGCAGATACGGTGCAACTGGGCAGCGAAAGGAGCCAGTTCTGGCGAGGACAAGCAGAATTCTGATGCCAAAAGCATCGTGGAATTAACAAGTGGTGCATCGGGTATGCTAAAGATGTAACCTTTTTTTCCCTTTTACCTATTTGTTTTGTTGTTTCAAACCTTACCTCATAAAATGGAATTTCAATGGGAGATGGTCGAAAGTTTCCAGCAATTCAAGTTTCTTTCTACTCTTTTTTTTTTATGGAAACGGTTTGTGCATCTCTTTCCGTTTTTCTCTTTCTGGGTGATT